TAAACCCTCAACCCTAAACCCTAAATCCTAAACCCTATAAACCCTAAGCCTCCAACGATGCCCAGGAGGCGATTCGGCTGCGCCGCGAGACGGAGCTTAGCGCGCAGCTGGCACAGGAAACGATCCCTGCTTTTGGATGTAAGCGGTTTGCGTATCAGGGTCTAGAAGGGTTGTAGGATTTTAGAAGGGTGTTCGAAGGGTCAGAATGAAGCCTACAAGGGTATAGTATAGGCTGGTTCTTAGTAGGAATTTAGGCTTCGAATGTACTTTTTACTATCAGGGTCTAGAAGGGTTATAGGAAAATTTAGAAGAAATATTACAGGCTCTAAGGATTTAGGGCGGTTCTTGTAGGAATTTAGGAAGTTGGTACCCTAACATGATGCGAGCTTCTTTGCTGGGTTTTCGGGTTATTAAGGTTTATTAGGGGTGTACACTAGAGCTGATCTGGGCTTACTGGGGTGTGGGCGCCGAGGGTTTATAGGGTTTGGGCTATAGGGTTTATGTTTTAGGGAGTGTCAGCGGTCATAAAGATTGCATGGGTTTATAGCCCTTGTGAGGGATAATTAGAAGGGTTATTCTATGGATTACAGGAATAAGGACTTAGCGTTTAGGAGTTCCTTACATTATGGTCTTGTTTGGTGTACCCTGAGCAGAAGGCTCCAACACAACAACCTCTCAAACAAAACGAACGCAGTTCTCAACAGAGATCGGGGTACTCTAAGAACTGAGGTGTGGGATGAAGGCTTTCAGTCCAAGAGTTTTCGTTGTTGGGGTATTTTTGTGGGCTCAGGGCGTCGGGGCCCCCGCGGCATTCTTCGACCATGCAACTTTTGCGAAAGCCCAAGCCCTAAACCTGAAACCCTAACCTCTACACCCTAAACACGATAAGCACTATTTAAACACTATAGACCCTAAACACTAAACTCTCAACCCTACACACGAAACCCTAGACCGTTCCCATGAACCCTGGGACCATGGGGCGCAGGCACAGCGCGAGGAGGCGGAAAACCAGCGGGCGCTCGAGGAGCTGAAGCGGAAGGCTGGTGGGGGCTTGTGCCGGATGTTTTGCAGAAGGGTTTGGGTGATTGTCTTTGGGCCCTAACCCTACACCCCAAACCCCAAACCCCAAACCCCAAACCCGAAACCTAAACCCCAAACCCTAAACTCCAGCGATTCGACATGCGTTTCTGCACTTCTGCACACCAGGGGGCCGGGCACCAAGGAAGCCTCAAGAGTCCAGCCCCAGCCACTCTAAATCCTGAGCCCTTTTGCTTTCAGAGCCCTAAACCCTAAACCCTAAACCCGAAACCCAACCCTCAACCCTAAACCCTAACCCCTAAACCCTAAACCCTAAACCCTAAACCCTAAACCCTAAACCCTAAACCCTACTTCGCTACAGAGTTGACCAATGGGCTCTGAGTTCCGACTTCTTTGCCAGGGGGCGGAGCTGGCAACTCGCACGGCCCCCAAGACTGTGTGGGGACGGAATGAGCCCTAAGGTTCGTTTCTTTAGCCCACTGCAGTCCCTGAGGGTTTAGGGTTTGGGGTTGAGGGTTGAGGGTTTAGGGTTTGGGGTTGAGGGTTGAGGGTTGAGGGGTTAGGATTGAAGGGTGCATTTCTAGAAATTACAGGTATGGATTTCGGTACTCCAAAACCCTATTCAGTATGGTTTTGGGGTACCTGCTAAAGCTGCAAACGGACCCTCTAGCAGTTGTTCATCAGCTGTACATTTCTTTCTTTTTGGTTAGAGTGGTATGAGGTTTGTGATCCCTTGGGGTTGGTTGGAGAAACGCTGGGGCTTGAGCACCAGGGGGGCTTGGGGGGGTGGCCGAAATCCACCTTCGCCGTGAAGAGATCAGTCCCGGCGCCCCCTCTTCCGCTCTACAGCTTTAGGTGCCTGGAGCCTTGCCCTACGCCCTACACCCTACTGCAGCCCATGAACCTCGAGCAGGGCAACTCCTTGCGGCAGGTTGCGCGGAGCTCCAGCGTCAACTGGCCCGCGTCTCATTCTATGGGTCTCCGAGTCGCGGCCCTGAAAACTCTGTCGAATAATTACCCGAAAGTGGCTCCGTCAACGGACCAACATGGTTTTTCTTTATGTGTGTTGGCTGTCAGTGCTTGGTCACACATGTTTGGTGCAGGTTCGTGGCAAGCAGCTAGGAGTCGAACTTACAGTAGCCAATCCACCCAATACTGACGGAATTAGGGCCGTGCTTACGCCATCTAATTTCCAGTCTCTTGCGACAGACCAGCTGTTGCCTGCCCGTTGTGAGCAAGATCGGAGAATCGGGCAGCGAGCGTCCTTCGACCCAGAATACCTACCTACTTCTGACACATAGCTACATAGCTCAAGCACTAAGTGGACAACCATCAACCTTGAATCCTTTTTGGGTGCTACCCTCTAAGCCCTCAACCCTAAACCCTAAACGCTGGACCCTAAACCCACTCACGCTAAGCTCTGCGCCCCGCCGTCCCGCTGTCAGGTTGGGGTCGCCAAAGAGCGGGCCAGCGATAATCAGGAGGCACTTTGCTGGGCCTTTGAGCTAGCAGGGTTTAGGGTTTTGGGGTTTTAGGGCTTTAGGGTGTTCTGGTTCTGGGGGTTTTAGGGTGGGGGTGTTGAGGTGTGCTGAGGTTTGTAGGCTTGAAGGCTTAATTATTTTGGGCTGCTTGAGGTTCAGCCTCTTTGGGTTCTTCAGGACCTCTGAGATGCGTGCAGAGGGAATTTGGCTTTGAGTTCGGAGTCTGCTACGATAGCTCGCAGCTCATCCCCTTCACCCGCATATTCCGAGGATGGCAGCGTTTGCATTCCTATAGGGTTTAGGGTTTAGGGCTGAGGGTTTAGGGTTTGGGGTTTATCAATAATCGCCAGACAGCGCCGGTCTGATTCACAGGTTGCTGGGAAGGCCCTTGGGATGTTTCAAATTATTTTCCCTCACGGGTTTGGGAGGATCATTTTTAGGTAATGTGTTCTTAGAGGGCTTCATAGGCCAAGCTGGGGTGTGGAGTATCTTTTGCTTAGATGACAGTGGGTTGCTCTAAGTAGTCCAAAACCGTGACGGACAGGCCCCATCCGCCGAGAAGAAGGCTGAGGCTCGAAAGCTAGACTATAGGGTTGAGGGTCTAGGGTTTAGGCTTTAGGGTTTAGACCAGATTGTTGGGGGTTAATGGGGGGTTGTAGGTACTCCACAGAGAACAGGTGTGTGAGTCTACCATGACAAGCTTGACATCCAAGAACATGTTCAAGCCTTTGCGGCAATGCCTGAGACCGTCGAACATAGCAGCAGCCTAAAGGCTAACCCCTTAGCCTAAATCACAAAACCCTAAACCCTAGCATCAAAGTACAACAGTACTGTATATCATTCTCAGAGCTCACGAAGTTCCCCAGGAAAGCCCCAAAAGGTCTTAGGAATGTTCAGGGCTCAGGGATTGCGAAGTAATGTCCTGCGCCATCCTGCGCAACCTCATTGCAAAAGGCGCGGGTCTCGTAGAGGGGTTCGTAGCGCTTCTACCACCAGCCATGAATGCCTAGGCACCGACATCGGAATCCTTCGTCATCAATATTGTTATCTGTCATCTAGTTAGCATTACCATAATGAGTTCTCGGCCTTCCAACCTCAAAGCTCGATTCCGAAGCCCTATAAACCCTAAACCCCAATTCCCTCGAAGCCCTTAGCACCCTCGTCTTCTGCTGCGGCGCAGATCTCCAGCGAGGAGGACAGCCAGGAAGAGGAAGAGGAGGAGGAGTCTCAGGAGCACGACGAGGCGGCCTAGGGGGCCGTGTTAGGTGTAGGGTTTAGGGAGATTTGGTTTAGGGTTACAGGGCTTTGTGGAGCTTGCCATTGCTTGGCTTACTAACTTGTCCCTGGACCCAGATCAGAATTAGGGCCAGGGTTTAGGACTCAGAGGTGGTCCTGTTGCGATGATCATCCGATGTGGTTGCTTCTCACATGGTATGCGAGTCACACCAGAAGCTGGGCCATGTTGCCAGTCACGTGGGCAGCTGCACCTAGACGGGCAAGTGCACCTAGACTTGCAACTCAAAATCGGCGTTTTTTCTGCTCCCTAAATCTTGCCTTGCCCCTATGTTCTTGATCCCAAGTCATCTATCCTTTATTCGCCTAACGAACACTCCTACACTGTTACACACACGAACACTCCTACACACGAACGCAGACGCTCTTCTTCAACAACTATTCGACCCTGAACGCCCTCAAGCCTCAACGCTTAAACGCTCTCAATTTTGTGCGAGCGCTCTCCACGTGGTGCAGAGGTGGTGGACCCGAAAGCAGAGCCCAAGGCGCTTGATGATTCAGAAGTGTAGAACTGGGGATTTTGGGTTTAAAGCTTTGAGTGCGTAGCCTTTCGGTCGTTGTGTTTTCGGGTTCAGGGTGTGGGTGTCATGGCCGATGATTTTAGAGCTCATTGCTTTTAGTGCCGATGATTGTAAGGCTTTGGCCTTGGCTCGAGCCCCGCCTTCGTCTCCACGAGTTGACATGTCGCGAATCCGCCATTTGGGTGCACAAGCCTCCAAAAGTTGACTTCCTGTTTAACTTCCTGACAAGCCCAATGGGACCCGGCGCAGTGTAAGCCACGAAAACCCTCAACACCCGGGCCCATGCGTTTTGCCAGCACGGCCATTGCTCTGGCTCCTTGTGCGAAGGCACCGCCCGCCGCAGTGCCGCGGAAGGCCATGCTCCAAGGATTGCTTGCGTTTTGTCCAGCATGCTGAGTGTATGGTTGAGGAGCACCAGGCTTCATGCACGGGACGGGGCTGTCGATTTGTAGGAGCAGAGGCTCCCCCTGCGTTGCTGAAGAGTCTTCACTGAAGAGAGAGAGAGGAGAGAGAGGAGAGAGAGAGAGAGAGGCCCGGTGCATGTCCTGCCCAGCTGCTGGCTTGTGTTGCCAAAAGTAGCCCAGATGATGTGATTTCTTCAATCTACAACTAATTACTTGGGTCTGCCTGGCAGCATTGGTGACTGCCCCAAGTCTCGGCTTGAAACATGAGGCGTATTGCCTCCTTCGTGAGGGCGCCTCGGCTCCCTGAGTGCGTTCGCCAGTTGCGATGGAGCTCGAACGGATGGCAAGTTAGTTCCGGCGGAAGGGTGCAGAGTGCCACTGGTGTGATCAGCTTTGGCAGTCTGCAGGCCGCGGGCTATCGCAGCGTGAGCATCGACAATCAAAAATATCTTGTGCATCGCCTGGTGGCAGCCGCATTCCTAGACCCGCCACTAGACTCAAGCTGTTGGCAGGTGAATCACCTGGATGGAGACCGGGGTAACAATCAAGTAGCCAATCTCCAGTATGTTACTTGCTCTGAGAATCAAAGACATTCCTTTGCTACCAACATGAGTCGGAATCGGAAAGGTGTCAGCAAGGCTGTCCTGTGGCGGCGTTGTGGTGAAATGTCGTGGACGCGTTGTGCATCACAACTTGAAGCTGAGCAGCTGCTTGGGGTTCCGCGAAGCTCGGTGTCAAGGTGCTGTCGGGGAAGTCTGACCAAGACACGCGGAAATGGGGTTTGGTATGAGTTTAAGGAGATACCCCATCAAGATCCAGAGCTCCCGGCAAGAACAGGCAAAGCTTCAGACGAATGGTGGAGTGCTGCAAGGCATCCGTGCGAGTGTGATGCTATCCCCAACCTGATGGTGAGCAATCATGGCCGTGTTTCGCCAGTGTTCCCTGGCAAAGGCTACATCAGCCGTGGAACAAGAATGAACGATGGCTACTACTCAGTCACCAGAAGGCGTCGGACACTTCTGGTGCATCGTTTGGTTGCGGCGACGTTCATTGGCCGGCCAATCTCGCCAGACATGGAGGTAAACCACAAAGATTCTGACCGTGGAAACAATCACGTGGACAACTTGGAGTATGTCACGAGGTCACAGAACAGGCAGCACGCTGTTTTGCAAAGGGCTAAGGCAGGCAGGATCATAACATGTAATGGCAAGGCTGTACAGGCGCGAGCGAAAGGCTGCGAAGGCCCATGCCTTGACTTCAGCTCGATGAAGATGGCCGCTTTGTACACGCATGTTCCTGCGAAGCAAATCTCTCGCAGCTGCAAAGGTCTTGCGTCAGGAATGTCAGATGGGTCCCACTGGGAATTCAGGTTCGCATTGCAGGAGACATTGCCGGGCGAAGAGTGGCGTCCAGTTGTGCTGGAGGGAGTCCGGGCATGCCGGCATTGAACAGATCAGTTCAACGATCACTGCACGTCCCAGACATGAATGTAAAGTGACCTGCATGGCTTCACGTGATTGGCGAGTGGGGTGCTGCAGCAACTGGTACAATTCTGCAACTTATGGGGGCCACGCCCCTGCTGCCTAGAAAGGTTCTAGATGTTCTAAGTGAATGACAAGCTGAGCGGCATGCAATTTAACAAGCCAAAAGCATGATCGGAACAAAAACGACAGCTCGCTGAACCCCTTGTACCTGAACCCTCAATTGTCGTACATATAACTTGTTCCACCATGTAAAATTCCATTGCATAGTCTTACTAAAAGAAAGTCTGGGTATCTCCAACAAACAACAACAAAGCAGCTGCAACTAAGTCCGCCCCCGCTTCCCACGAGCTCCACAAGCTAAGCCAGTCGAGGCCGAGACGCCACCTCCCCCTCCGCCGCCGCCCCGCGCTGCCGGCCCGGAACCCCTGTGGTAGCGAGTCCTTCGGGTTTAGGGTTTGGGGTTTAGGGTTGAGGTTTATTTTGGGTTTTGGGTTTAGGTGTTCAGAGGCTTGAGGGTTGTAAGGCAATAAACGCCAGTCCTTGCTTTCAGCTCGTGAGCCGGGCTCATTCGGATTCAGCTGACATGCGTGAACGAGCGAAGCGATCCAACTTAATTTTCTGGCTGTCTTTTCGCATTCCTTGATACTCCAACCCATCCCAACAGATTAAGTCTAGACCCTAAAGGCTAGGTTTGTTTGGGGGTTCAAGGTGGACTCAGGGCTTGGGTTGTTACGATTGTTGGGGTGGGCGCCTATGGCTTCCAGGGTTTCGGGTTTCGGATTTAGGCTAGGGTTCAGGGTTTAGGCTTGAGGGCTTCGGAGGGCTGCGAAGTCCTGTAGTTGGCGTTTGGGTTGCTTGATGTGCTGTTGCTTCGGATGTTGGCTGCTGCGCTCTTCGTGTTTAGAGCCCGGCGCCCTTGGTGCTTCATCAGTATTCTCCTGTTACAATCCCCCTGTGATAGAGCTACCCCATTTTACTGCTCCTGTTCCTGTCCTTCCTTGAATGACCCATAAACCCTTATAAACCCTAAGCCCCTACAAACCCCAAATACCGAACTGCCCTTAAAAACCTAAAGACCCTGTAACTCCTAAGTACCCTCTAAAACCCCCCCTAAAAACCCCAAAAACAACTATAAACCCTAAGTACCCCCTTAAATACCCGATATACCCTATAAACCCCCTGAATTCCCCTAAATCCCTGGTTCTTAGTAGGGAATGAAGGAATGAGGGCGCTACACACACCCCTTTGAGGGATTCTATAGGGCCCTCATTCCCTCATTCCTACTAAGAACCGGCAAACCCTAAACCCTAAACCCTAAACTCTACACCCTAAACCCTAAACCCTAAACCCTAAATCCTAAACCCTAAACCCTAAACCCTAGATGAACCCCCAAAAGCCGTCGGGAGCAGGCACCCGGGGTGCGGCGCAGCTGGCGCCTCCGGGGCAGGCCAAGGCGGCGGCCAAGCCGTCCAGCAGCGAGGCCCGGGCTCTCAGGGAGGGGAGGGGGGGGGGGGTTTAGGGTTTCGGGTTTGGGGTTTGGGGTTTTGGGTTTAGGGTTTAGGGTTTAGGGTTTAGGGTTTGGGGTGGTTTTTGGTTGGGGTTTAGGGGTTTTGTGGATTTAACGGGGCCAGGGTTTAGGGTTCGGTGTTTTAGGGTTTTGGCGAGGTTCAGGCTTTTCGGGGTTTAGGGTCCTGGAGTTTGGGGTCTACATGGGGTTTCGGCCGAAGGCAGAAGGGTCGGAAGATGGATGTTTCCGGACTTCGGCTTGGAGGTGTTAGAGGGCACGGGAGGCAGAGCTGCGCTTAACCCTAAACCCTGAACCCTGAACCCTAAACCCGTAACCGTTAACTACACGACTGCGGAGGGCGGGATTGTTCATACACACTGCGTCGTGCTTGCGAGTTTCAGCTTCTTGCTTGTCTTGACGAAAGGTGCAGAACAAAGACACACGCCTTTCCTATTTCCACTATTTGCGTAAGAACTCCCCCCCCCCCCCCCCCCCCAAAGAAAAAACATACAAACTAGTATTCCTGATAGTAGGGCCATGAAAGGGCAATTTCGGGATTCTTATTCTGTGTTTTTTGGGGGTTCTTACTAAACCCTAAACACGAAACCCTAGTTCTTAAGCAAGTAGTAGTTTTGTTGCCGGATTCGGGCGAGGTTCCCGTCGACCTAATGGAGACTGAGGTGAGATCCCCTCATCCAGCTTGATTTAGGGTTTAGGGTTTAGGGTTCACGGTTTAGGGTTTAGGGTTAGGGTCTAGGGTTTCATTGCAAGGCAGGATGGGTCACGCCTTGAAGTGCATGCAGGACGAGTACACGGACGAGGAAGAGGAAGAGGAAGAAGCCCCCCGTCCTAAGGCAGTTCTGAAAGCTGCGCCTCGGCCTGCAGTATGGAGGCGTGAGATGCAGGGTAGGTGGGGGAGTTGATGACCGAGCATTAGTGTGCAGAAGCAGCACGCGCATTCCGTCCCAGACTTACAATTCTGAGGTGTTTTGAGCAGGGTTCTTTCTGGGGGGCCCCTGTGCTCGCGGGAACCATGACATTTGGAGAGCCCATTGCATGTACAGTGTAAAATCGGGTATGGCACTCCAACAAGAAGCTCCATCATGCCCACGGGCCCACACCCAGCAATCCTTGCCTAGAATCCTGAAGTGATACTCATTTTTGGGGTTTAGGGTTTAGGGTTTAAGGTGTTTTTCAGCCCCTAGAATCCTGACTTGATACTCATTTTTGGGTTTAGGGTTTAGGGTTTATAAGGTGTTTTCTCAGCCTTGGCTCAGCCCGGTATCAACAGCAGACAAGACCGGTTGCCCTTTCTTCCCCAAGTCATGGAGACTGACCAGGCGTCTAGACTAGGCAGTCCCACAGTGCCCTGGTGGGGGGGGGGGAGGGTTCCCGTATAAAAACATCCTTGATTCCAACAAGTCACCCTTTTCGCTCCTAGTTTTTCCACCCCAAGCCTCAACCCCCAAGCCCAAGCCCCAACCCCCCTCGAAAACAGCACCCCAAGACCCCAGACCCCCACCACCCCAAAGAGTGTCCCCCTGCGTCACCAAGCCAGAGCCTCCGTGGGGCTCCTAAGCCCTAAACCTCAAATCCTAAGCCCTAAACCCTATACACCCTAAGCCCGGAACCCTAAACCCTGAACCCTAAACCCTAAACCCTAAAACCCTAAAACCCCCTCCGTGGGGCTCCTAAGGCCGTACCGAAGTCTGAGTCTGGCTCTCAGGGCTGGGGTTTAAGGGCTTTGGGTTTTTTTAGGTTTCGGGTCTTCGGGCTTTGTTTTTTGGGATTCTCGGGCTTCAGGGTTTTAGGGTTTCGGGGTGTTGGGGTTATAGGGTTTTGGGGTTTAGGGCTTGGTGTAGGCTTTCATTGCAGGTCAGCTGTTAGCGTAGGGGCCTTTCGGGTTTCTTGGGCTTATATAGAGCTTTGAAGGAGGGTTGTGCGGGACTTCTGTTTCAGTGAACCTTCGCTGTCGGCTTGAACAGGAGGATCCACTGAATATTCACCCTAAAACCTTAACCCTGAACCCTGAACCTTAAACTAGGGTTTAGGTGAGGAGCTTCAGTTCCCGTCTAGCTGTTTGCCCGGGAGCCCGCTTGGAGAAGCTCCTGTTTGAAACGTGTATTGCGTTTCCATATGAGCGGTTCTCTGAATTCTGGTTCAAGCCTTGGGGTTCCCACTAGAAAAAAAGTGCCATATTTTAGTGAACTGTGAACTGTACATACCTCACCAAGCTCAGACTTGGTGGGTTCCAGCAACCAAGCTTGATAGTGAGATTGTTGGTGGTGTAGCAACCCTAGATGCTAAGCTTTGGGCCCTAAACCCTATAAACTTTGCAGGGTGCGTATGTTGTCCATGGCCTTAGACATGTCACACGTGTAGACTCCTGAACTCCGAAGCCCAACGAACAGCTTGCATGCTCATCGCTGGAGCTCCCCCCATACTATGGTTCCGGCCCTTACCTCCAAAACCCTGAACCCTGAACCCTATACCCTGTCCTATGAACCCTAAACCCTACGGGTTTCAGCCCTTAACCACAAAACCCTAAGAACCCTGAACAAAACCCTATACCCTGTCCTATGAACCCTAAACCCTGCAATGTTCACCCCAAGTTCCCCCCTCCGCCTTAAACCCTAAACCCTAAACCCTAAACCTTAAACCCGGCGGCTGGAGGCCCCCTGCGAGAGAGGTGAAAGAGACCAAGGCAGAGCCGAAGCAACCAGCTCTGGACTCAGACTTGGTTCCGGGGGGTTGGGTTTAGGGTTTAGGGTTTAGGGTTTAGGGTTTAGGGTTTAGGGTTTAGGGTTTAGGGTTTAGGGTTTAGGGTTTAGGGTTTAGGGTTTAGGGTTTAGGGTTTAGGGTTTAGGGTTTAGGGTTTAGGGTTTAGGGTTTAGGGTTCGGGTTTGGGGTTTAGGGTTTAGGGTGTAGGGTGTAGGGTTTAGGGTTCAGGGTTTAGGGTTTAGGGTTTAGGGTTTAGGGTTTAGGGTTTTGGGTCTGGGTTTTGGGTTTATCGAGTCTAGGGTTTCGGGGGTAGAGAGTAGAGTTTGCAAGGTGTGTAAGGTTTTCGGCTTTCTGAGGTTTAGGGTGAGGGGTTAAGGGCTGTCTGGCAGGGGTTGTAGGGATGCTACGGTTGTCCGGGCGCTGGGCAGGGTCCCTGGCCAAAGGCCCTTTTATCATATGAATTATGTACTCCCAAAAGCCTCAGGTGTCCCGCGCGGCGAACGCCATGGCCGCCGCCAACCCCAAGTCAGCAGCCACGCCGAAGGCCGTTTAAAGGGCTTAGGGGTTTTGGGTTTCGGGTTTAGGGTTTATGGGGTTCAGGGTTTAGGGTGTAGGGGTTAGGGTTTAGGGTTTCTAGGGTTTAGGGCGTTTAGGGTTTTAGGGTTTAAGCTTGTGGGGTTGAGGGTTTATAGGGTTTAAGTTTGTGGCGCGTCAGGGAGTTTAGGCTAAAGGCCTG